TATAACTTTATGTTCACTGTTTATATACGATAATTGTATGTAAGACGTACACGAACGTTTACAACAAGCCCTCCTTTCAATATCATTGCACAATAACTTTTGAAAATAAAATTTAAAATCATCAATTACAAAAATTTTTTTGTTTTTTTCATTCAACATATGTTCAACTTGTGGTTCCATGATCACACTACAGTTAACACACTTTGTTAACGTTCCAAGACGTACTAATATTATAAGACACAGAAAAACACACAGGTGATATCTCCTTTTGATTTAAATTATATATATAAATTATTATTATTACTATTATTTGTGGTCGTAGTGGCGTAGCTCTATATACCTTTCTTATCTTAATATTATTTCAGATCAATATTGAACATAAACGCTTATACATTTGACAGCTACAAACACTTAAGTGACCGATCCGTAAGTCTATGTCTGAGAAACAGACCGAGACCACAATACACTATACATTACTCCAATATAGATACTGTTTGGGAAAATATTTACACGGATATAAAAATATTTCAATCCAGAAACTAATCACTAAACAGTTGTAACAACCATACATAAAAGAGCGTTTCTATACAGGTATTTTTTTAAAAAATTAGGAAAGTCCAAAAAAAAGTTTACGTTGTTTAAGTGCATAATGAATAAACGTGTGGTGTACGGCATGCCATCCGGACAAAGCCCTCTTAGATATGGCATGCAATTCGGACAGACCCCTCCAAGAGATGGCACTCAATTCGGACAGACCCTCCAAGAGATGGCACGCAATTCGGACAAACCCCTGCAGGAGACGGCATGCAATTCGAACATCCCTACAGGAGACGGCATGCAATTTGGACATTTTTTTTTTTTGGCATGCAATTCGGATGTAGCCAAGATTATTGCATCGATTTTTTTATGGGTAGGTACCCTGATCCTGACTGTTAGATGTTAATACTCCTATTTCTCCTAATAGGTACTTCTAAATTCTAATACTTTTACAGGTATAGCTTTAACTAGTTTAACTATAATTTAGGAAATAGGAACTTACACCCTTCATTATTCTCGGTAAAGATTGATTATCTGTGAGAAAGCCTGTGATGGGTTAACTATAATATTTTTGTCCCTTATCAGTATGCTGTACGTCTGTATCCGTGAAGCATCATACAATCATATAGAAATATACAATCATATATATAATGTCAATGTGCACTATAATTATGTGGATTTAAAAAAAAACACTATCAAAATCAATTTTTCACCAATAAATTATAATAAAAATGTAGAAATTAGAATTTTGATTAATCAACCTATTTTTTAAAATGATCAAAATGAACCTATTGTTACACCTACATATTACATTCAAATGTAATAATTTATTTTTTATAATGGCAAATTTAATTCAAGTTAATTTGTATTTTAAAGTACAATACTTATACTTACAGGGTATTCTCGTGATGATACACATGCATCGAAGCGAATAGTTTAAGTACTTGGTTGCTTTTAAATAAGCACTGTTCTTATTAAATACCATAATTTATGCCGATGTATTTAATTACGCAACTATATTCAGATACTTATCAGTATATATAAACCAGAATATAATGTATTTAAATTTTTCAAATAAATCACACGTTCTAAGCAGAATTCTAAATATTTAATTTTTGAATGTCTTTGTACCTAATTCGTAGTTAGTTTAATTATTCTTAAATAAATTTATTAAAAATGTTATAAAATAAAACAAAAAGTGATGGTCTATTTGAATTTTGATTTGAGTAAATTTGTATGTTTCTTACATTTTATAATACAATGCAACACCAATTAATGTACGAGTACATGCTTTACAATTTGTTCAAATACGTTAAAATGTGTTTATCACATTGAAATGAATAATAATGATTATCTGGGAAAAATTAATTTTTGCTTAGGAGTTAATTCGCGTTTACAATAGCAATAATAACTAATAACTAATAAGCAATAACACGTATGAACATTGAACAACAACCAAAGTTTGCGTGATGGTTCCAGCATTATATATTTATTTGAATTTTATTATAATATTAAACTACAATAATGGAAACTCCTACCTCTACAGTTAAAACGATGTTGTAGATAAAAATGGGTAATAATGCTTGAGCTCAAAACCAAAAAAAAATAAAAAATAATAATATACCTAATTCACAATTTGCCTAATTGGGTACTTATCTAGATAATTATATAGAACGTAGCGATCATGCAACGATAATAATTCATATTATACTACATACCAGACCCAAAGCTGGTCAAGCAATCCAATATTTTTAAAAATAGTTTAGCCAAATAAGTGAAGTTATTATAAAAAAGTTAACTAGATGAAGTGTAAGTAACATAAAAATTTAAACGAATACATTACCTAATGTATTCGTTAGATATTCCATAGATAAATTGATTGAGTAGGTACCTATATCTAGATAAATAAGTCAAGTTACCTACAAACATTCTATTCGTCGAATACTACAGGTAAGCAAAATTGTTTTGGCCGCCTATAGGTTCTGATTCATCGTCGGATTCAACGTCGTCTTCTTGTGGCTTTATTTTCATTCGAGAATTAAATATATCAAATAAATTATCAATTTCATCTATTTCGTGGAAGGGGGGTGTTCGATCGTGGAACGGTTTTTTCCTTTGGCCAAATTATATGGGGATATCCCGAGTGCGTCCCGTTTTTAATTTTTACCTTTTTCATAGTCCCAGTGCGTCCGCCGTTTTATCGACAAATTATATTACAGTGCCCGAGTGCGTCCTCGGTCCACAGTTGCTATAGGTATCTATTTAAGATATTTGAACACTGGAAACGGTGGGAAATTAATTTTAATTAATCTATTTGGCTTACCATTATTAAATCAAGTAGATTCAGAAAACTATATTATTGAAGATTTTATATTTATAATGCCAAAACATCAAAAACTTAACGAATTTATGGATAATATAATAGAAAATTATACAGATTCTGGAGTAAAATTTCCTATTTCCATGTGGGCTAAAATGAATAGAAGTTCTGAAAGGACAACAAATGCTTGTGAAAGCATTCATTCCAAGTACAACTCGTTATTTTATACACATTTTTGGAAATATTAAAAAAAATTCAAATCGATACTAAAATAGCAATCCGAACGGCCACACAAACAACAAAAAAAACCAAAACAAAGTACGTGCAAGAAAATATTATACATCGAAGACAATATAAAACAATTTAATAATAATGAAATAACAAGATTCGATTTTTTCAAAAGAATAGCATTTAAACACCAGCTTATATAAATATATAATAATAACAAAAAACGTTTTAATAAATTGTACGCTAACCTAAACTTAACCGTGTAAGCTAGTTCTAATAATTATAATAAAAATAATATTTTTGGGGTGTAAGGCAGTTCACCTCCACGTGGTGCACCCTGGGTATTTCTAAATGAACTGGACGCATTCGGGCTATGTAAAAAATATGACCTTTTTTTTTGGGACGCACTCGGATGATACCTTATTATGGACGCACTAAGAACATTAAAAAATGTACATTTCGGGACGCACTCGGGAAACTCCCAATTATATATATCTCCTCGGGACACCACAGGTGTGGCAAAAGATAAGGTGTTCGGCAAGTTTCCACCTCCGCTGTTTGGTGACAGTTCGTCAGCCGATGGCCGAACCTCTAGCCCACCCGGCGTCTGTGCGTCTGTCTTTTTCCAACGGTTGACCTGAGAGCAACGTGCTCGTTAACCGTTATTATTGCGTGTGGCAACCCAATCTCGTGTGATCACGAGGTGCAATTTTTGCCATTTCGAACTTTTAATCGAGTGTGCCCAGATTATATCGAGCGAAGAGCAACTCCCGTTCGGTTAGGATTGGTCAACGGAGCGCTTGCCATCATAGGTTAGGCGGGTTTTTCATAATAGTGGTCATTAAACCATTTGCCACGCTTTTTCAAATATTTCGTATTCATATAAATTTTTTTTATTATTTGTTAATAATGTAAACAATATTCTACAATTAATGAAAATAATAATATTACGTATTTTTCTTAAAATGTTCAACTGAATATACAAAAATAAACACATACTTTACTTAAATTTTTAGTAAAATTATATATATATATAAAATTTACAAAAAACCTAAAATACACCTAACAGATCATCAACATCCATAGGTTCCAATTGATTTATATATTCGTGAACTATATTTAAACCATTGAAAAAAATTGTGAGAGAAAAAAAGCTTTCTACTAGAAATTGTCTCCAGACAAAAAAAATACTTTGTTCATACCTGGTAATATATAGTCGTGATCCATTAAATGAAAATTTGCCATAGTAAAAAATTAAATAAAAATTTAAAACTGGAAACCTTAAAAAATGTGTAGGAGTGAAGTTTAAATAAAAAATGCGTATAGATTGAGTTAAACAAACCTGTGATCCAGTTTTCTATAATATAATGTTATAATTCCAAGATCTATAAATAAATAATATTGGATTTTCACATAATAGTGATAGGTAATCATCTTTTCTACTTCTTTTCTAAATTATTTTTTAATTGCATATTTTTATTTGTATATCTAGTATTTAATTAAAATAATAAATGCATCAAATACAGTGAATATTAGGACATGTTATTCTTATACAATATAAAATTTTTATTTAATTTAATTTATACATTTTTCCAACATTGTCTTATATTAATATTAATTAATATATTATACATTTAAATTATTGTATTAAAAATTATAACTAATTGTATCCATTGTATTTCTTGTAATGTCTTTCTTGAGAACATAGCTTATGTTTATTGTCTTCAATGATGGGCTTGTAGTAAGTTTTTGTTTGTAGTGCATCATGGCTAATGCTAATGCTAAAAAATTAAGAATAGGTATTTCAAATTACTTAATGGAAAAGGTATTAAAATTAGAGATATTTTATTCGGTAACATTGGTGTACATGTAGAAGGTTAGCGATAAAAATGTCTTATCATTTTTCGAACAACTATTGAGTGATTGATAACTAATAACAACACGCATGGTTATTCCACAAATGAATAAATTATGTCAACATTGAACATTTGAACATTGTCAATTTGCGATGATAAATATAAAATATTAGTAATCTACTATATTATATTAGTTTATTAATTAATTATAGTGTAGCCATTGCTTGTTTAAAATGGTAAGTACCTATTTTTAATTGTATTCATCTGTTTATACACGTTTATTTATACGCACAATTTAACAATCAGACTATTATTACTAAATTGTTAGTTGCTTAAGTGCATTAGAATTTTCAATATTTAAAATATGTTTGTTATTTTTGACTATCTAATTTTCCGTCAGGAAAAAACTGACATTGTTATGGGATTATCACAACGGATTTTTCCTTGCCCATGGTTAGGTATCTAATGAGATAATGTCGGAACAGTGCCTTGGACCAACAATTTAACTAGTACCTAGTAATTTGATAGGTTGTTATAATTTAAAAATATTAATTTCATTTAATTTTGTAGAAAAAATATTTGAAATTATATGAATGGCTTTGGTAAAATGTCCGATTACTCTTAAATGAAGATATACCTACCATTAGGTAGCTCTATAGAAAAATTGGACTCCAATCCATAACTATCTAATAAAAAAATAAATAAATACCCTACATTTCTGAATCTTAGTCACTATTATAATGACATTTATTCCAGACTAAGACTAAGAAAAGTAAAAAAATTCTTAACAAACAATTTGCTGTTATGAAGAAGACAATCAAACCAACAGATTCAAGAATGTATGTAATTGTATTATCAAAAAAACCTTGTATTCTTTACTTTAAATATATATTTTTTTCAGAAAAGAAGAAAAAAGAACTATTATAAAGAAAAAGATAAATGAAAATAAAACTGTCACCGTTCGTCAAGTGTAATTAATAAAACTAAATAAATTATGATGAAACGTAGATATTAATTGTATGATCATGAATGATTTAATATTTTCAGAGCTCAAACAAGTTCAGCTTTGTTTTTCCAGTTTAACACACAGTTAGGACCACCCTATCACATCTTAGTAGATACCAATTTTATCAGTTTTTCTATAAAATATAAAATGGATGTGGTTCAAAACATGATGGATTGTCTATATGCTAAATGTAAGCAAGCTGTATTTTTTATTAATAATTCTATAATTATTTATAAACATTATTTGTTTGTAGGTATACCATATGTAACGGATTGTATTGTTGGTGAATTGGAAAAATTAGGTCAAAAGTATAAAATAGCTTTGAAAATTGTTAAAGATCCAAGATTCCAAAGAATACAGTGTATGCATCCAGGCACATATGCTGATGATTGTTTAGTTCAACGAGTTACTCAAGTAAGTGATTGAAATGGATGTATTCATTAAATTTGAATGTTATACATAAAAGCTAATAAAAAACATTTTTGTTTTAGCATAAATGTTATATAGTAGCTACATGTGATAGGGATTTAAAGAGGCGTATTAGAAAAATTCCTGGTGTACCGCTTATGTATATTGCTCAAAGAAGGTAAGTGTACTGTGGGTTTTCTTTGTTTTTGTTCTGATTATTGTATTATATTTTTTTAGATATACCATTGAAAGAATGCCTGATGCTTATGGTGCTCCTAAAAAATAACTTATAATGTAACATATTCAAATATAAATTTTAATATTTTGGTTACTTACATTTTTTTAATTTTAATAAAAAATGTATTTTTTTATACATGACCTAAAACAAAATATGTTGGCTTATTATAATAATTATTAACTTAAAACGAGTGTCAAATTTTGATTTTTCAATGTATCTAGGTTATTACAGTACTGAAATTATTTTAGAAGTGTAATACTGTAATAATATTAATCTTGTGTGTAACACGTCCAATTTTATTGCTTGATAATAAGTGCATAGTCATTTTGCTTAGGTATAGATAATCCCTACTCTAATTCAATATTTACAAAATTTTACTTTATTTTCTTTTATTGTTACAAATCTTGTCCAAATAGTTGGTCTACACATTAATTATTTCATGAAAAAAAACAATAATTAAGAAAAAAATCTAATTATTTTGATTCAAAATTTAATCAACTTAGTTTTTATTCTGCATCATATTCTTGATTAACTTTTCAATATATTTTGTTCACTAAAACTAAAAACTGCTTTATACACACCACTTGTTGAATAGACATGTAAATAACTTCAGCATATTATTTGCGTTTCATTATAATGATTAATGATTAAAAATACTAAATTCATAAAATAATAATTACTAGTGTTTAATACAAAAAGTTCTATTAAAACAATTTTTATGAGTTATATACAAAAAAAGAACACGTTCTTTCCAAACACCGATTTATTGTATAACTTATATTTAATTACCATAATACTATGATAGTATACATTTCTATCATATAATATTGTATATTCGTTCTTCCCATTCGACTATACATCAAGTGCACAGATTAGTTGACGCTATTTCCTATGCGCTGGAACAAAAATTATATTGTATGTGTGTGTTTTTAGACATTTCTCAAGCTTTTGACAGAGTTTGGCATGATGGCCTACTGTTTAAGCTTAAAAGATTCCTTCCACCTCCCTACTATCTAATTATAAAATTGTATCTCATAGAAAGTCATTTTCAAATTCACTACGGTTCTGCTTTCTCCGATATAGCAGGTGTTCCACAAGGCGGCATATTATCCCCTATTCTTTATAACATTTATGCTTCAGACCAACCAACCACTCCTTATACGTCAGTAGCCGACTACGCAGATGTCAAAGCGATAATTTCCATCAACAACGATCCCCTCACTGCCTCTTCAAATCTATAAAATCATCTTGCTTACATGGAAAACTAGTTTACCATATGGCGTTTTAAAGTTAATCAAAGCAAATCTATCCACACTACCTTCACCCTCAGACAGGCTTCGTGTTCAAATGTATCTCTATATGGCACACCCATTCCTACCACTCCTACTGTTAAATATCTTGGTCTAACATTTGATCAAAGACTTACTTGGCCCCACCATATAAAACCATAAGACTAGCTCTAAATAATCGTCTACGAATGCTGAAAACGGTGTTATACAATAATAAATATACCTCCACACGCACCAAACTTCTTATATATAAAAGTCTACTCAAACCAATGTGGACGTACGGTCTGCAGCTATGGGGTAGTGCAAAAAAAAAACAAACGTTAATAAAATCCAAGCATTCCAAAACATTGCCCTGAGGAAATTAACAAATGCACCTCCTTACGTCTAAAATTTTTCCCTCCATTCAGACCTTAAACTAAAAACAATAGCTGAGGAATCCAAATGTTACTATAAAAGATTCCACAACCACCTAAGTACTCATTCCAATCCACTCATCAAAAAATTGGCCACCGCTACCATACCAGGTAATCCCCTAAGACGTTTAAAGCGCAAGTGGTGTCGTGATTTGTTGCAGTAAAAAATAAAAATAAAAAAAAATCATAATAATTATTAAGTAAATAATTAATAACCATAGAAAGTGTCATCAATGGGTGGCTCCTTTTATCAAATAATTTCCTGTGAATGTACTCTTAACATATATTCATATTGTATTAATGATACAGATTATATATTACTTGTAAAAAAAAAAAAAAATATTGTTTATTAACTTTTTAATCATTACTGATTTACCGCAGGAAGGTATGAATAGGTGTGTGGTATAAAATTTAAATTGCCAATAGTATAAAATAATTCTAATCATTTTGAAAATGTCATTGTGTCATAGACTTCATCTATAACTATAACTTAATAGGTCCTTGTATTGTGTATAATATAAGAAATGTTTCAAATTTACACAGAAAATTGTAATTTTGTAGTTAAAAATGTATAAACAACTTTTATAGCTTAGGATTAGGTTGCAGCAGACCACTGAGAACAGCGAAATGCTTACTTAACATTACAATGCTGGGTGGAGGGTGGATGCAGGATTTGTTTCAAAACCGGTATGTTGCTGACATACCTATTTAATTTACCATGACATAAAGTAAAAAACACAAAGTACACACAATATAATTTATAAACTCAGGACAAACATACAGAGAAGATGACATTTTTAGTGAGTTTTTTAGAACTCATTGGAATTGTACCTGCATTTTGAAATAACTTTTGAAGTTTTTTTAATACAATTGTCAAATTCTACATAAAATAAAGAAAAAGCTCTTCTCAGATATATTTTTTGGTGTTTAAGAACAGAGATGCTTCACATATTCGTCACAACACTAATTAAATTATAATGATAACTAACATATAAAATATTAATAATATATTTACAAATTAACATTTTTAGTAATAAAAATAGGAACAGCATAACTATGTACAAAAGGTATTTATAAAAACAACCTTAGAAGTTTTTTTTAGATAAAACAAATTTTAATGTTTTGGTTTACATATTTTTCTTGTACTCTGCTCCTCGAATAACAATTAAACAATTATAGTTTAAAAATATATTTATAATAACAAGCTTTTCGGGTACTTAAATATAGTAAGTTAATTATTACGATACTGTTAAAAGTCATCCATAGCAACCAACTGTTTATACCATTCTTTTAACTGATGTACTTCCGCTAAATTTGGATTGATGAACAGAACACTGAATTTGACCATAGAAAAAAACTTAGTCCCATTGAATTGTTTGAGTACAGCTTGCTTAACCAATACTATTGGTGGGTCATCAAACTTCTCGTCAAATTTGTTAACTTGTTCACCCCACACTTTTAAAGTTATCTGAATTAAGTGAAAAGACAAAAATTATACATATATTGGCTGTCATTATACTATGCTGTCTACCTGTGGTCTTTAGTCTTTACATAGTCTTAAGTTTATTTTTAATAGATGCACTTTAATATTTTTCTTTGGTCAACACTTTATCTTTATTGCCTTATACACAGATAATGATACTCTGACATTTTGTAAAAGCATGGGCTCAATAGCTCAGTATGTCACTTATTGCGCGACACCACAATTTATATTTTGTTCACTCAATATGTTGGCAAAAGATTTTTATTCAATTATTAGTAGTGACGAATCAACCACAAATTTTTTTATTGGCAAATAATGAAAATTCCTAATGTATTAAGTGTGGAAGTGCTATGAATGTACACCTACGTAAAGAGAGAGAGGTAAGGAAAGGAGAATTTTACGTTGTAAGAGAAAGGGATGTCAAACAACACAAATCTTAAGGTGAGAAAATTATTTTCTTATATTCTATCCAATCTATCCTATTCATTTGGCTTATTTTAACATAATTTTGTATATTATTATAGGAGAGATAATGCGTTTTGGACTTTTATTGACAAAAAGGGTTGTAGAAGTCCTGATCTCCTTCCAAGGTAAAATTATTATAAGTTATGTATAATAAATTTAAAGTAATACGTATGATCAAGCCCGGATTAAGATAATTTTGGGCCCGGGGCCAAACAATTTTAGGGGCCCATATCCATAATCAAAATTTTGGTGACCCACAAATAAAAATATTTCAGAAAAAAAAATATATTCATCAATTTATTTCTTATTTTTTTTTTTAAATACAAAAATAAAAATGTTATTAAAAATATTTTTTTCTAGATTTTTGGGCAGCAAACTCTTTAATTATATCATCGGTATTAATTACTTCCAAAACATCACTCTCTGAACACAAAACCATAAAACTATTTAAATTTTCTTGTTATTTTATTGCACTTAACAGCAGATGTCATTAAAAGATCTTCTTTCTTCTTTTTTCTCTTCTGAGCACCGCTTAAATATTTTTTACAGCCACTCATATTCGATTTTTACTTCAAATTTCAATAATATAAGTTATAAGTTGTATTTGTAAAATAAAACACTAACACTAACCACTGTTAAACGTTAAACGTTATTATGACTTCGACTGAAGACTATACAAGAGACAAGACTTGTTTCAGTATTGTTTTCGTAGAAAAATAACATAAATAGAATTTGTTTGGTTAATAAATAATAATTATTGAGGAATATGTTTTATCATCAAAAACAGTTTGATAACTAAATCTATTATTAGTAATGATGTTTCAACCGTCGTAAATCGTAATCGACGGTATTCACTGTAGTACTGTATTCGTGATTCCTATAATTCCATTGCATTATCATTATCATCCTGCTAAAAATAGACGATAGTCGGTAGCATAATAATAACATAGGTGATATCCATATTCCATATCCATTATCAATATAGTATTTAGCCCACCACAGAGTACACTATGTATAGGCGTATAGCTTATAGGAAACGTTAATGTATAATAATAATAATGATATAAGTTTATATTATTATTTATTATCATTGCAAATCTTTGTATTTTATCGCATATAATATATTATATTTTACATGTTTCTTTTGAGTTTTGATTTACGAAATAAACTATTATTACTATATCCAAATATTTCTGATTTAATAAAAAAAGTACTATTCGCCAGGGGCCCACTTTTGTTTAATATCCGTGGGCCCAGGGCCATGGCCCCTCCTGGCCCCCCCCTTAATCCGGGCTTGCGTATGATACAATGATACATACTATTGCAGGTATCTCATGGAAACATGGTGGCGTGGAAATGTGGAATATATAAATCAGATTTATTTAATTAATTTTGAGAGATATGGCGGAAGTTTTTGTATAACATATTACATTATATTTATTTAAATTCATTGACAACAGTTTTTTTGACAAACAAATTTTTAATTATTAATTTTTTGCTAGGTATTACTACTACAATAATTAAACTATAATATTATGATATCATTTTTAATTTATTTATTTGCAGTAGACCGCATACTATACTCGTAAATTCACCGGTAGACTGCATACTATATGACAGCCCATATATTTCATTAAAAAAAAAAATCAGAGAAAAATGAAGCCTCTGTATAGCTAAAATATATATAGAGTTTGAAATTGTAGGTTATTTCTTGATCTTATATTGTGAATACACAAATAGATAATGACCATTAAAAAATCAACCAAGCTATTAATAATTCAGAACTTTTTTTTTAAAATTACAATTTGATTTTTTTATTACATAATGTGACTGGGCTCATTATTATAAATTAAGTATAAATTAATAAGTTAGTTTTAAATTAATGCAAATCATTTAAAATGTGATAAAAATAAAAATACTGTACAAAACTTACAGTTGCCATTGACATATCGATCAATACAATTTCTCGTTTCGCAATTTCTGTTCTAGACTTTGAATTACTGCACACTTCTAAATCACCTACTTCTATGCACACACCAATTAAATCTAAAAAATAACAAAAAAATATTACATAACAGTCTTAGACTTAAGTAGTTCAATGAATAAATATCTATAATTACCGCAAAACGTATTTGGATTGTTTTCTAATAATTTATTAAAATTAGATGTTTTAATGTATTGCATTTTTGGCTGGACTTTATCAATACTTTCAATTATTACTGAATGAGATTGGAGTTTTAGTTCAATGCCAAATTGGTTGTGTTTCAATATTGTGTCTGCTATATAATAAGTTTTGTTTTCCTTGAAATATTTATAAAAATCCAATAGATACAATTAATTAACCAGAAAGTAATAGAATAGGTACTTACCTCAAATATTTCACTTAGGGTATTTGAAAGTGAATTGAATGCACTGACACGAACTACACCTGTAGAATCCATCATATTGACATTTAAAACTCTACAACTGTTGTATGTATTGATAGAACTTTTTTTTACAACAGTCAGTTTTAGAACTAAGGGACAGCTCCTGTAAAATTTTTAAAACAGTAATCCACTTTGAGCTCAAGAAAAATATCTTACGAGGTACAAAAAAATGATTATTATACCCATTAGGTAGTGTAGTTAAATCTTTAACACTCATAAGAATATTTTCTAAATGTTCAATACAATAAAATACCCTACTATGACATTTATTTAAATTTAAATTTATAAGTGGCATTTCTTTTTTTTCAATATTTATTAAAGGCTGCGGATTTCCATAAACATTCCTGTGAATTAATACAGTTACTTCTTGAATAAGTATAATCCACCTGCAAACAAATTGTATACAAATTAAATTTAAGTGCCTAGGTAATATTGAACTATTTATTCAGTCAACCTTGGACTATGGTCAGTGGAATTTTCTCCATCCATAAATTTGTATTTATCAATCCTCAAAATAGTTGCATACTTCACTTGTTTTTTTACAATTAAATCATTCAACTGACCGCACAGGAAAAAATAAGAGTTCATATGGATGCCATCTGACAACACTAGACGATAATTTGTTTTATCGGGTTTCACCTGCACAGCCTCAAAACCCTGATGTTATGTTAAAAAATGTAATTTTATTAAACACAGTATATTGGTCTTAAGAGGGCACTACCATATGTTGTCTCCGTCTTACAAGTGCATAACATAACAAATTTAAGCTCAGCAGATAACGTGTACCTCTGTTAGTTTAAAAAATTAGAGTGAATCGACATATTATGAAAACTTGATGGTAAGAACATTATTTGTGTTTGTATGTTGGTTTTTTATGATAGTTCAATTTTAAAGTGAGCATTTTTAATCTACACTAAATTACATAAGCATAACTTGATAATAAATTGAATTATCGTAAAAACCCAACATACAAGCACAGATAATATTCTTACTATTAAGTTTCATAATAGGTCTTTTCACTCTAATTTTTAATTAACGAAGCTACACATGATCTGCTGAGTGTAAATTTGCTATGTTAAGTACTTGTAAAACGGAGACAACAAATGCCAGACTTCTAACTTCTAACTAGAATAATTTAGTATTTTCTTATAAGAAACTTACCATTAATTGGACGATCGGCCGTTGTACAGGAGTACCATTGCATAGTTTCTATGACAGGCAACAGGAAGGGATTTTATTATAAAATGAAATTTAAAATAATATTAATTTTTAACTCGTACTGAAAATAATAAATTATCACATACCTCGATAGAACCAATTGACAATTCTAAAGCCATTAGGTGTATTCGAAAATTTTAACAAGGAAGAATTATGACAAATTATAAAAAAAATGTAATTTTCTGTGCCATCAAATAATTCATTTTTTGTCCGGAGAATCAATCCAGGTTAGTAATTTTTTAATTATTAAATTTGTTAATAATATTTATAATATTTGTTTTCTATGAATCAATCAATGACCGGTGGGTATATAGTATAAGAAATAATAGACCTATGGGTTTTAGACACCACATATTTTTAAATAATTAATATCTGACTAGATAACAAAAAACGGGTAAATCGAATTTGTATTTTTGTTACCTATGTCCACGGACTTAAGATATCTTTGTCCGTGATTATGTTTTATGAGCTTATCACGGCTGTAGATAGTGTAATAGAGTATCAATCAATCATAGAGTTACTCTATGCAATCAATCAAATAACAATAAAAATAATTGTATATATATAAAAGTGTCTAGAACAGTAGAACATAGAGCTCTATATGAGTTGATAACATCATATATAATTCAACTGTTTAGAACCTAGTAGATATGTACATACCTATCAAATCTTAATTCGTGATTTGAAAGAAAGTAGAAACTAGTTTCTAGAAAGCTATCAGTTTCAGCGGTGTGAAGTGAGTATTACAACAAGTTAATCAAATCAAATTTATACATTTTTAACAAATGATCATTATTAATTAATCAATATTCTATAGTAGTATGGTACTACCATAGAAAAGACGTACTACTTATGTGATTGGATACCATTGAATGACAATTGATCTTTAAATCAAAATGTTTGGAAATGTTGTGAAGCTCGATTGGCAGAGTACTGCTGAGGGAGAAACTATAATGCAACATTTTTACAATCCACTGACAAATGGTAGAAAATTTTTTGGTTGGTCACCGATGATTTATTAATCTCAATAACATTTTATTATTACAAAATTATAATTTTGCATTTATTAGGGCTGTTGGAAAGACCTATTCTGCCAAACATAGAAGAAGTATCGTACAAATTGTTTTTTGTCGGGAAAAGCGGAGCTGGAAAATCATCCACTATTGCTCGACTAGCAGGGATATTAAATTTTGATGAAGAGTATGTAGAAACTCGAGGAATACGTAAAAGTAATATTTATTGGCCTGTCAAAGTGTGGGATAGAATTATTCTATTCCGACTGCAGTGTTGGGATGCTGGTGACAGAGACACAAAAAAATTTGGTCACATATTGCCGGTAATTAGCTATTTCTAGCTATTTTGCTCTTGATTATAATATTGAATACAATTTGTTTTTATTTTTAAACATGTTGGTCATTGACATCAGGTGTGTAAAGAAGAGGCAGATGTCATTGTGTTTGTATTTTCCTTTACGGACCCTAGTGGATTAAGTACTATTTCAACAAATTTGCCTATATACTTGAACGATAAAAGTAAACCGGCTCCTATTGTTATTGGCACAAAGTAAAAATGTTGTTATTTTTCTATTAGTTAATATACTATTTTATGTTCTATGGTTTATATTTGTTTATTTCAGGTATTGTGCTGGTGATTTTACTGCTAAAGTTACTATTGATGACATTGATGAATTTGAAAAAACACAAAACATCACTATATTGAAAATAAACAAAACAGATGGAAAATACGATTCAAACGAAACCGAGATAACAGCTTACACATTAAATGTAATTTGTGAACAGTTATGGATAAGAGATCAAAACTATATATTAAATCAGGAAATGGAATCTTCTCAAATTGTTTGACCGAAGTGTTGTGGATTAATTTGTCGTCTTATCCTACCCCAAAGTTGCCAAAGATGAACATTTTATTTTTGGAAAACCTCTGTATAGTCTTGTTGGAGATGAAAAAGGCAATTAAAAAAATGTTATGGTATTAGCAAAATATGATAAAAATTCTTATAGCAAATTCTGTTTTTAAATCTATTTGAAGTGGCCAGGAAAAATCTTAGAAGCTTAATATTGTCATCTTACTTTACCTTCTCCTACGTATTTTTCAAATATAACACTACCTAATGTGTCACACGGATAAATTAATTGTAGAACAAAATTGGATGATACTGTTTGTACATAAAAATCTATTGAAGTTGAATAAAAGTGTAAATGTGTGTTTTTCATGCACATTTGTCAAAGTTGTAATTATTATTCAAATTTTAAACTTTATTTTTTTTTTCAATGAACAAAGTTTACTAAAATGCATTTTTGTTTTAACTGAAGATAGTTTAATTATTGTTATTAATTATATTTTAATTTTTAATACATGTATATATATATTAAGTACCTTATCATACCTAAAATGAAAACTTCTTTGAGACTTACTTAATTAAAAGAATTTGTTTTATTTTTTTCTATTTATGTTATTTGACTATTGAAATTTATTCTAAAATAGTTAAGTAATTTATAATTATAATTATTTTTTTATATAATATGCATCAAGTAAAATATATAAATGTACTGTCATACATTTTTTATTCAACTTATATTCACTTATTTAGAACATTTTTTATTTTATCATGTTATTGAATTATTAGTATATTCTGCATATTGAATATAGGATATTTCGACTGTAAATATAACATTATCTACAAACTAAAAGACCTGTATATATTTTTGAGTAAGCTTCCAATAGATTTGTTCACACAGCATACGATGACTTTAGTCGCTTTACTAGTGTGCGGTCACCCTTAGTCAAAACATACAATTTACATTGCACATTAGTACAAAAAACATAGAGTGATTAGCAAGTATTCTTTAGATTTAATATATGACACTTGGAATGCAAATATAAATATAATTATTTCTATGGTATATTATTAGGTAATTAAATACAAATTTTATTAACATTGTTATAAATGTGTGATATAAAAATAATTGAATTATAATATAAGTTGTAATAAGATATTATATAATACTAGTTTCAATATTGTTTGGATAAGGTGTTAAAAAGCACATGATCTGTAAATGCATACGGGTCTTAAACTGCTCAAAACATTTCAAAACGTACCTAGGAACAAAGAAAATAAACACAAGTAATCACACCATAATATAAATTTGGTAAAATAAGTCAGTAACCCAATTTTCATTACTTCCTGTTATCGGTTTTTAAAAAAGACACATATTAATGTAAAATATAGCATACATAAACTTAATTAAAAAGTATATCTGAAGTACTAAATCATAAATAAAATTACTTTTCATTATCCTCTGACTTTAATGGTGGAACTGCATTTGTAGCGTCACAAAAAAAATCCCTGTAAATAAATAATAAATATACACAAATTGTTGTGTTAAATTGTTGAAATGTAAGACTTATACTTTGAATTTGGTGTAAAGTAATTAGATAGTGTGAATGTTAATGCCATCAAATCCAATCTAGCTTGCATGGACCCATTTTCACTAAAATGTGTAACGCAATTCATGAGACGCGACATTTCTTCTGATATAGTGACCACAATTTCTGATAATACAGCATACATTAAATCTGGCATGATTGTTTGAACCTAACAGACAAAATAAGTTATTAATAATGAATAGATCATGTACTCAAATTGCTATCAAACCTCAGAGTGCAATGCAATCAAATTGGTAATAATTTCTTTGGCATAAGGTCTGACTTCTTTTAGATCTAAAAGCGAGGGAGAATCCCATTCAAAGTTGCCCACATACATTGATGGTTCTATTGTTCCAACTAGAGGATCGCTTTTGGTTTCTATATAAGTCTCAAGCAATTTACTTTCAGTGTTTTCAAGTAATTCAACAGCTCGAGCCACAACAACATCAATAGTTGGAAAACCGTTGTCTTCAAATTCTTTTTTAAATTTAAGTAGCATGACGTTTCTCGTATACTGACTATTACTTATTGTTATTAAAAGTTTTTGTTCCCACATCTAAAATGTATGAGTAATAATTTAGATAATTAACAAAGTTATGTAATATGGTGTAAATCTTAAATGTGTTTATACATTTCATCACATCTGCTAAGTATATAAAAATATACAACCTTAACTCTAATAATACATTTATTTTATATCTTAAATATGGACTGTGGAATCTCGATAAATTGATAAGCTTCATAACTCAAAAGAAATGTAATTTCCTCCCCGAATACCACAGTAAATTGAAAAAATTTTATTTCCCTGAACCTTGACTTACCAAGATTCCACTGTATACTTTATACATTATTTATGTTCCTGAACAATAATATAATAACACTTTAACATTTTCAAAAATAAAACTCACTAGATCATTGTGTAATTTAAATCCCGTAACTGAAGATCCACTCAAGGACATAACTGTAGTAGACGAACAATTGGTATCCGCGTTTAAACCCACTTGTTCTAAAACCTTTTACATAGAAACTATATTAAATATAAAATTTTAAGTATGATTTAACATATAATTTGATACCTGTGAAAAGTTCCAAAAACATTTGTGAACCAGTAGTTGTAATTCGTTTTTTGCAGTTTCATTATCAACAAGTGCAGTTTCTCTACGCTCGTCACGGATTACATATTCTTTGGCTAAATTCATTGCTTCCATTATAATTTTGTAAAAATCATTTGGCTGAAAAAAATAACTATAAGTATAGAATTGAATTTGGTTAATATTATTGAGAATTCAAATTACCAATTGTGATATAGTTCCTTGTTTTGAATGATAATCCAGTTTCCATGTCTCAGTAGTTTTTAACTGTATAATTTGTTCCGATGCTTGTTTGAATAAAATATTTAAGCAATGTAACCTATTAACACAATAAAGTACATTTTAATGAAATTCAACTGTTTTTTAAAAATAATGAAAAAAAATAATTGACCTTAAATCAAATATAACACTGGAAATCTTATTCAAAGCTTCATTTGGAAGATCCAAAGCCGTTAATACTGTAAATACAGATCGGATTTGTTTTAAGCAATGTGGCAACCATATGATAGGCACAGGTGAAAATGAACTAGTTGTAGTAGTAGGTAACATAATTGTTCTGTATATATCAGACACAGTCACAATTATGTCTAATATCATTTCCTACAAATGATACAAAAATATGTTAGCACACACAATACTTTTAAAAATATTAGTAGAAAATACTTTAAAATCCATTTCATGGCTGCAATCTGGCTTTACTGCCAAGTCACCCACAAAGTAATTTTGTCCAAGTTTCCACAAGTCTGGAAAGTAATCCGAAATAACGGTAGCTATTTCATCAATGCATAATACTTTTTTAGGCTCAATGTTCTGTAAAAAAAAAAATTGATTTAACATTAATTAACATTGTTTATTAGAATAATAACTTGAGATGTAACATACTTGGGGTTCGATTTGCTGTGACAAACTAATATTTCTTTTATGTTTATTGTGCGGATGTCTATTGTTCTTATCTAAAATGTGCAAATGTGTCAAGTTACGGTTTCAGATTTTAAGTATAAATTACTTACTAGGTGTTTCATTTGCTTGTTCTTCAGTTATAAATTGTTGATAACTAGCTTTTATTTTATCAATTAAAAATTGTTTCATATGAATAATTGCTTCCCAGCCTGGGTCACCGTTGTCATTCAGAGCAACTAAATTTCTGTAAGGATAATTTTAAAATTTTAAAATGTCATAAATGTGTAACAATCATGGAATTAATATTATAAATTATTTTTAAGTCTTGTATTATGATAAATAATATTAAAATATAATATGAACAATTAATAAATTTAAAATATTTAAGAACAAAAAATAATCTAAAAAAATTACAACTATTTAAGAAATATTCTTAGTATTTAAATTAAATAACCATTATTGTTTTATTTCAAAAAATTATTTTGTTATTCTCACAAATTGACTTATTTGTAAATATGTGGTTTCTCATCTTATGTATTTTATCTATATGCACTCAGATAACTATATATTACCTAATTATTTTCTTTTGTTGTTTAAGTGTTGTGGGCATTTGATGAAGCTTTGACTTCAGGTTAATTCGTATATTCAGTATTTTGGTTTCAACTTCCTCCAATATTTTTTTGAAAACCTTTTGTTCAAATAAATAATATTTCAATATTTTTATAACAAACATATAGTTATTAATGATTATACTTACCGAAACTTCAGTTTTACCAAACAAATTTAAAGCCCTTGCATAATCATTAATAATTACATCTACATCTTCATTTTTAATATTACGATCAATATTGATCGGTAATTGAAATAAAAATTTATATCTAGTCATAACAGCTAATGCATTTCTAGTAGCTTCAGCTTTTTCTCTTCTGGTTAAAACGCCATGAAATAAATGAGTTGCCTCCTTTAAAGATTCTAAAACAATATTTTCAATAATGTTTAGGTTAAACAACAAGACATATTTTGTTATTTAACGATTCAAAATTTACGGTTGATTGCTTCTTCAACTCTAAAGAGAGTTTCATTATTTCTTTCAAAATCAGCTTCATAATTTTGTTTTAGAGTAAAAAGAGTGTCTAATTGTTCCATAACTGATCCTACATTATCCTATACGTTATATTAAACATAATAATTAAAATAAACTGTAGATTTAATTTTTTAAACATGGCTTACTTTCAAAAAAGACAATTGTCCTTCATTTTGTGAATCTACCTTTCTCTTCAAATATGATAATCCTACCCGTAAATCATCAAAAGATGTCCCATGGTGGTGTTCAAGTAAGAACCAGGCAGGTTCAAAGTTTTCGGATAGTAAATCGCCACAACCATCCGGAAATAATTCAGTTAGTTCATTTTCAGGAAATTTCCTTATTGTGCAATCAAAATAATATATCAGTCAACTCTTGACTGATTGAATTGGTCAATAAATATGTACATACTCATCTCCTTCAACAGATAGACCCAGAGGATCATCTAATTGAAATATGGTGACCGAACTGTTTTGCCTGCCCCAGTTAAGAGGCGCTTCTTCCACCCATACCGCACTCTCTTTTAAAGGGCCAATCGTCTCATGATAACCACGAAACTGTACAGTACTTGTACCAACGCCACCAGATTTAGTGACTAGAATTATATCGCCGCGTCCTTTTCCCGGGCCAGATCGTGCAATGATCTTATTTGGCGATTTCCATTCAGCCGAAAGCATGCACTCGCAGTCACATATTTTTAAACCTATAAGCACCGTAAAATTTTTGTAGAGTTCTTTATAAGATTTACTGACATAATTACTCGAAAGATCATTGGGGTTGATACCCAAATGTTCCCCTCTGATTGTCACCCTTGTTCCTGGTGGCCCTTCTTTCGGGGAAATTCCAGTTACGACAGGACTTTTAGCCATCGGTAAAAAAAAAGAATAGTGAATCGTCTACAAAATTAATGATAGTACCATTTGGACATCTCGAACTGAAAATAAAAAAATCTGAACAGATAAGTTGAAGCCTCGGTTGCGTTTCAAATACCTACTCCACAACTTATCAAATTATTCAAATTCATTCATTTTTAATATCAAGTTGATAGCGCTTATCGTATTTTATCATTTTATCAGTAATTTGCACATGTATATCAAAAAGTTCCGGTTTTCGGGATAAAAATATTAAATTCTAATATTTTACATGGTTTTGAGTTAATGTTTTTGAATTGTTATGGAGTAATAAATAGTTAAGCAACAATTAACTAGGAATTCGATCAACTTAAATTTAGGAATGCCAAGTTTTTAGATTAATAAAATGTTTAACGTCAGGTCTTTCATCGGATTACAAAATGTAATATCTCGTTTTCCTACAACCCAGTGAGTACAATATTTGCATTATGTTGTGCCACTGTGCTAACAATTAGTATTTTTAATCTTACTAATTCTTTAATTTATTACCAGTTATAATATACCTTCACACCAATATATTTATTATTATTTTCAGAAGACATTTAAAATTAATATATCCACGATTCTCAACTGTTCAACCAGAATCAGAATATAAAATTTCTGATGAAGGTAAGGTTTTCTTATTTTTTGTATTTTTTTAGTTTAATATTTACACGACCTTAACTAAAACTTAAATAGCTTAGCTTAGTTAGTTAGAGGTAAAAATAAAATAATAAAAAAATAAAAACTCAAAATAGGTAGTGTCACTAATGGTTGGCTTCCTCCCTCAAAAATTAAAATGTCTCTTTGTCACATTTGCTTATTATTCCGTGTAAGAATAGATGGTAAATTTCTTATATAAAAAAAACTTGAACGTTTGATTTGTTAACAGTTAACATTCAAAACTTTAAAAATAAAGAATACTTTAATTGTTGAGCCAAATTTTTATAAAGGCTAAATAAAAAAAAATTTAAAAAAAGAATTGTTTTTTTGTTCAATATTAATTTATTTGTAGTAAAGGAATAGAAATAAAATAAAATATAAAATTTAAAAAAAACTGTTAATATATTAAAACAAATATTTTTTTTCATTTAGATATAACTAGATTGAAAAGAAAATTTGCGTCACCACGTAACATTGTTTCAAACTTTTATAATCAAGTTGAACGAACACAGAACATAAAGACAGGCTGTCATTTTGGTTTCAACAAGAACAAAAAAAATCAATGGACCTGCAAATTAAGTGTTCAATGGCCCAACCCTATTGTATTTTCGAGTGTTGCTACTACCAAAGCCAAAGCTGGAGAAACAGTGTCTTTAAATGCTATTCAATGGTTACAAGTAAGATAATTATTAAAATGATCATTTTTTTTTAGAAATTTTATGCTGAACAAACATTTTGTTTGATAGTTAAAATTGTAACACTTTTTTAAAATGTTTTTGACATTTATCTTATAAAAAAATTGTATCCTCTTCCAAGTTTTTCCCTTTTCACCAAATACTAATTATTTTTAAGCTGATGTGCTGTTTGCTGTTTAGTTTGTTAACACTAGTTTTAGAATATTAAGTAATATGATATTTTATAATTTAAAATAATTATTAAACTATACCTATGATTTAAATTGTGATCTTGATTTTAATATGTAAACAATATAACTACTAATTCATTTTCAGGATATGGAAAAACTTGATCATTCAGGAAAGCCATTAATAGTATCGAATAAACAACGTATAGATGTAGCTTCATCGCCAATTGCTTCAATAGATTTGAGCGAACAAAATGTTAAACAAATTTCAAGCTTGGTGCAAAAATACAATCAGGTTAACCATATTTGTACACAAAATATTATTTTATAGATATTTCGAAAATAATAATCAATTAAATATTTATACTCTGTTCCACAAAAGAGCAAGCCGTGGCTTGAAAAAAATTGATTTATCTGTGCATCCCAACGCAAGACCTTGCTATAGAGAAACTGGTTTTGATAGTAGGTTGATATAGGGAAATTCGTAGAGCCGGCATGTTCTCTCTTGGAACAGAGAATAAACATTTTTATTTTGTTTAACACATTAAAGAATATTCTTGTTTACTATAGGACATTAAACCATTAATAAATAAAGGAAAACCAGTATTTATTGAGGATGGCCAAACTGATGAGGGTAAGTCCTAGTATTTAATTATACCTACTGAATCAATAATGTAATAATGTGTTCTAATTTTAGATGAGTTAAATTATGTACTACCTTCATTTTCACATTTTGACCATACAAATCGAAACGAATATCTTTATAAAAATTCTACACAGACATTGAAAAAATTAGTCCAATTACCTATAGATAATTACGAGTATGTTTAAAATCAAAACTATTTTCAATTTAAAATAATTAATACTATATTTATGTTATTAAAATTTTAGATTAGATATACTTAATATGATCGAGAATAATCAAGTAACCATTATAAAAGGAGAACCCGGTTGTGGTAAAAGTACTAGAGTGCCTAATTTCATTATGAAAAAATATAGCCAAGAAAAAAAAGGAAGTGAATGCAACATTTATGTGACTCAGCCAAGACGAATAAGTGCACTAACACTTGCTAATCGAGTTGCTGAAGAACGTTCAGAAGAAGTATGAACTAAAAAAAAATAAAATGTATTTACAAATTTAATTAGATTTATGAATAATTTTACTCAATTTTCTAGTTGGGTAATGTAGTTGGTTTTCAAGTGCGGTTGAAGCAAATATTGCCCAGAAAACCGGGAACTATAGTATTTGCATCTAGCGGCATACTGCTTCAAAAACTACAAGCAGACCCAGGACTTAAAGAATTTTCACATGTTATTATTGACGAAGCCCATGAACAGGATATAAACACAGAAATATTGCTGATGCTTACAAAAAATGCTTTGCAGTTAAATGAAAAATTAAAATTGATTGTAATGAGTGCAACGTTAAATGCTGAACACTTCCAAAACTATTATGGCCACTCAGCTTCAACTATTGAAATACCAGGTTTCACACATCCTGTAAAAACTCAATTCTTATCGGTAAATCATAAATGCTAACGGGTTTGATATTTTGATTTTTAAATTAATATTTATTATTTAATTTATTATTCAAGAAACAATTGGCTAGGGAATGGGGTTTATTTGATACAACTGTTGAAGAAAATGGAAAACCGTACTGGAATCCACAACTAGTAGCAAACGTTATACAATGGATCCATAACAATAAATCACCTGGAGCTATACTGTGTTTTGTATCTGGTTGGCAAGACATAATTGATGTAAGATAGCCCCAGAGGACAATGTTCTGCCTGCTATTTAATTATTTGATCACTTTATCCTATTCAATTTTTGTTTGAATAATAGGTGAATAAACTGCTACAAAAAAGGCGTCATAATTTTGATATAATGTTTGCCCATTCTAAATTGACACCTGAAAAACAAATAGAAATCATGAATCCTGCAAGCAATGGAAGACGAAAAGTTGTGCTGGCTACAAATATTGCTGAAACCAGTATTACAATTAATGATGTAGTATATGTAGTTGACACTGGTATGCAAAATATATCTAGGTAAGGTTTTAAATTACAATGACTAAATCATCTTGTTTAGTGTTGGTAGTATAAAAAATGCATAGTTTAGATTATTATACAGATGTATACCCATAGTTTTTTTTTAACAGTTATTATATTTACTTAATAAATATAGCCGTGAATTCTTAGGATTTTCAAACATCATTAAATTTAATTTCACAAATTACTCTATTTGTTAAATATATATGATTGTAAAATACTTGTTTTTTATGTACTCCAGTTAATAAATAAGATCTTAATTATGAAGCATATTAATTATATTGAAGCAGTGCTTATTTTAATTTATAATATTTTAAAATGTATACGTTAATAATAATTTTATAGTTGGAATGCCGAAAAAGGTATTAAACTATTGGATCGTTGTTGGGTCTCTCAGGCTAATGCTAAACAAAGGAGAGGTCGTGCAGGAAGAACTCAGCCCGGAGAATGTTATCATTTGTATACATTGGATCGATTCAATAACTGCTCAGAGTATCCTACACCAGAGATTCAACTAACTCCTCTTGAACATACTATTATTAATCTTAAGGTAATTATATGCACATTTCATATAGGTTAGGTTACCTAACTTATACTGTATCGGATAAGCAAAACGTCTAATATTTGTTTATATGATCTAGATACATAGCCAGGATAAAGCCAGGGTTGTATTGTCCAAGCTTTTGAATTCACCTAGTGTAGAAACCATAGATATTGCCGTTTCGGAGTTACAACTTCTTGGGGCATTAGACAGAGAAGAGAAACTAACAGCATTAGGAAAACGAATAGCTGCATTCCCGTTTGATCCATGTCTATCAAAAGCTTTAGTTAATTCTGTATTTTTTAAGTAAGCAGCAGTTTTTCATTGAGTTAAATTATTCTATGACTATTTGGTGATTTTGTTAAATGTACGTTACGATCAATGTTAATAATTTATTTTAGATGTCTAGACTCTACACTAACAATAATAACCTACTTATCAAGTAATATGAATATATTTAAAGAAACAACTGCAGCTGATTCACGAATAATAAAAAAGAACTATTCATCGTGTAGTGATCACCTGGCTGTGGCAAAAATATATTCGGAATGGAACAGCACACAAAACCACTATAACAACAACAGTAATTCTTCATTATCAAGAAATAATCTTATACTTATAAACAGTGAGTATCAAATGTAGTGTTAGCTATTACTAATAACTAATTATTTTTTATTATTTTAAGAATAGGTTTTAATATTGAATGTCTTAAACATAAAATTATTTAAAAAATTTTACAGAATTGAAAAATTTATTTACACAACATTTGTATAATAGTATGCTTCTTGAAGACAAAGACATGAATAATTTCAACTTAAACTCTGAAAAATCATTAGATCAACTTGTACCAGCTGTATTAATTTCTGGATTTGGAAATTTAGTTTTCAGAAGATCATTTATGCGACGGAATGGACGTTTAGATTATACATTCATTAATGAGTATGAAATTTATGAAACTTTTGAACAATTTAATTTTGGTTGTGATTATTATTTTTAATTTTTATCATTTATTTAGTGCTGGAATAAAAGTTATACTGCATTCAGAAAGTGTAAATTATAATAAAGATAAAGAAAATGAGTTATTAACTTATTTTAGAGAAGGTAGGTCTCTTGACCATGATGCTGTAATGCTTAATAAATCTTCATATGTTCCTCCGACATTAGCTGTATTGTTTTTTAATGGTCAAGCATCATTTAAGCATGTAAGTTAGAATAGTAATAGATACATTATCGTTAATTATTTATTTAACATATCAAATACATTTTTCTTTCAGGATGGACACAATAATTGTTTGATATACATTCGAAATGGAAAGCGTGTTAATATTTCCTGTTCTAAAGGGTAAGTATTAATATTATGTTGTATAAAATCAAGATAATAGTTTTAATAATTTTATAGGTTGTAATTTTAAAATATATCATGCACTATAATATAATTAAATTAAATTATACCTTACCTAAGATCAACATTTAGTACTAGCTCGGTTAGGTGTATTTTGTGTGCTATGCATTTTATAGAATTTGTTAATTATAGCTTACCGAATAAAAAAACAAGTTAGCTATACTATGATTTGCGCATCAAAGATTTCAAGTATAGAATTTTATAATTCATATTTTTTACATATTTTAAGCACTATGATTTTACTTTTTAAGTGCTTGTTTTCCAGTTTTTGTGATATTTTTTGCTAATATGCATTAGATAAGATTTATTTTGTGTTTATCCAAAATAAAAAATACCCTGAAATATTTATTCTTTTTTTCCATGATCAAAAGCAATCAAAATTTGATCTATATTTTGATGTACAAATATTAAGTCAGCTGAAATTTTTTTTTCAACTGTTCTTATTATACAAGTCAATTAAGAACCATTTGTGCCTTAACTGGTCTCTTTGCCTCTTTTTATTTTAAGTTAAGTCATAGGTCACAATTTTGAAGGTTTGCAATTCGATCTTAGGCAATTACATTTATCCACGAAACCCTAGGTCTTGCTATGTTTATTTTTTGACCAGTACCTTTTTTTTATAAAGCGGCCATCCACTGTTCAAAAGTCCAAACCACTCTAGTCGTTAATTCCTGATAAATGTTAGAATTTTTGGTCTATTATACAATTTCTGCAGTTGCTTGTTTTTCTCCTCTCATACATATTTGTTTCTTAGTTGAAGTGTAGTCCATATTCTGTTCCAGGGTACTTAAAAAATCTAATAAAAAATAAAAATTTTTTTTTCAGTGATTGGGAAACCTTATTATCACTGAGGAACGTTATAAAGCGTTTTATTGATTTTCTAACGGAGACATACGGTCATTATGAAACTAATGATCAATCTTTTGATGAAATTATGAATTTCCGTGATTCATTGTGTTCTGTTTTATGTAAGCTTGTTGAAAAATAATTCTTTTCTCATAGTTGTGTTAAATGTTCTTAGTTTATAGACAGTTGGATTATGATATATAATTTTTTTATATTATAGAATTTAACATGCTTCTCATTGTACAATTTAAATACAATACATTTTATATTTTCATGTATGTAATCATTTTGGAAGAATGTTATTTGTATACTAAAAGTAATTATTATTATTAAATAAGTATTATTTATCATGATGAACACTCAGTGAAATGCAAATGTAATAACTGCCCATGTTCGGTATACCTATAGTTTTCTGATCAAATATATAGATCCTTTCTGCTACTCAGAATTGTGAGCAGACTACATATGCAACATTAAAATCATTTTACTTTACAGTATGAATTTTAAAATTGTAAGAGGTAGTGAAAAAATAATGTATTGAACACAGTTAGAAGATGTTCCAAGCTCATGATATCAAATAACTTGGTAATATCTATTATCTACTATTTGGGGGAAAGAAATAACCATATTGCCTAGAATTTGAATTTTCGCCAAATAGTGATTTAATCCTAAAATTAATATAATTTAATGAAGTTTTAATTGTTTAATCATTGTCAGAGGCCGTTGCTATTTTGAGGGACTATGCCCTCACCTCCACCTATCATTTCACAAGTAAATGCATGATTTATAATGTCCCTTATTTAAAAATAGTAAATCTGGAATCCCTAACATGAGTTCCCTCGACACAGTTCCTCGGCACAGTCATGGGTAAGTGAGCAGAGCCAACCTGTGAGCCGAGCCACTCACCAAGGTGGCTTTACCTATAAGATTTTGTTGGGTTTGGTAAGGTTTTTACTGTTGTTTTATGATTTAATCCAACCCAACGGCCAACCGCATTAGCCACAAGTCCGAATAATTATTATTTAGAATCAAATGGATTCAATAGCGGCAGAGTCATCTATTTACTACGCCCAAATCAATTTTTAACTCTAATGTGAATACGTGAGTGTCAAGAACAGCTACTAATTTCCTATGTTATACGTGTAGAAATAAATAGAAGTTGTGCAAAGCCGTATACATTCTTTTGCAGAATAAAACGTTGACACACTGAACTAAAAACCTAGGTAAAATTAATAATACTGTGAGTTGAATTAATAATAATGTTGTAAAATACGGTCAATAAAGACAATTATTAATAATACAAATTTTATTTTATTAAACTTACACTCAATAAATTAAATTATTGAATTATAAAAGGAATCATCAATTTAATAAATTTATTTTATTAAACTTACACTCAATAAATTAAATTATTGAATTAAAAAAGGAATCATCAATTTAATAAGTTTATTTTATAAATATGGGAAGAAATCTTACCAAAATAGTTTATTAAATTTACCATGTATTTATTCATTCTATAGTTAAGAACTATTAAATTTACTATACTTTTCTTTTAAAATAAAAATATTTTAATTGAAAGAATAAGTTTAATTTAATTGAATTATTATTTTTATTTATTAAAATAAAAATAATTTATCATTATTTTAAATACCATCAATAATTCAAACCTAACCTATCCAATAATAATGTATTATTGGTTTTTTAACCATTTATCAATATTTATTATTACATTTTTATTAGGAACTTATTAGGAGTAAATAATATTAAGACCACTTAAAAGTAATAAAATAGGTAACAGCTTATGTATTCAATGATAGTTTATACAACAAGTAGATATTGAAACATTTTATTTACAGTAAAATTAAAATAATAATATATTCATCGAACAAATTAATAAGATAAATATTGAAAAATGTACAAGTTTTGTATCAGTTACATGTGCATGATTAATAATAATAAAATTTGAGTACAAAAAAAAATATAAAATGACCAAATTGTTGTCCAATAACCAAATACATAATAACATAATACAATAACAATAACATATTATATTTAATTAGTAATGTTAAGTTATTTTATTCATAAGCTTTAAGTTGAGCAATTGTTTGGTTAACTTGTATGCAAGGCTTATCATACATAATTTTTATTTTAAAATAATATATTTGAATAAATAACCAAAAGTTTGAAGATTCCAATGGATATTCAATATTAAAAACAAAAAATATTAAAACAAATTTCAATAGCTTTTAATATGGTATTTGCAATACACTTAATGCCATCAAAGTACACCATAATTAGTTGCAACTTAAAGCAAATGCTCACTACAATTTTAAAAAAATGTGAAGAATTACATTTATTTCTTGATCCTATGGTAGTACATATTGATTTCGAACGTGCAGTAATCACTGCTATCACACATGTCCTTGGACTTCATGTAAGTATTCAGGGTTGTTCCTACTATTTACCTCAATCGACTTAACGGAAAGTATAAGAGTAAGGGCTGCAGACACAATACAGAGAAGACCAAAACTTAATTGAATTTTGTAGAAAAAATGATGGTTTGGCATTTTTAATCCGTTAGGATGTCAAAGATGGTATGACATATTTAAAAAAACATTGATCCAGAGGAGGCTGAAACTTTGATAGATTATTTTGATGCAACTTAATGGCAAGTAGAAATGTTTTGAGAAATTGCCCACCTATTTTTCTACTAAATTTATGGAACGTTCACGATTCAACTTTAAATGATGAAGAATGAACTAACAATTCAACTGAAAATGGAAAGTGGAATCTTAGATTCGGTAAATTAGTAGGACAAACACATCCAACAAATTGGACTATTGACAGAATAAGGTGGCAGCTGATGAAACGAAGCTAGCACAAATCCAATTAGGAGTACCACAACATAAACGACCAAAAACGGTGTACAAAAAAATACTAATTCAATTAAACAAATTATGAGAAGATCGTATAATAATGTTATACGCGATATTGAGAACTTTTTAAATCAATTACAAGAAAATAATCGAAAAAATGAGTGTTTATTAAGAAATCAAAATGCAACTATTCAGTACAGATAGCGTTCCAAATGACAAGCACGGGCATAAATGTATTGGTAAGTTAAAGTGAAGTGAAAAATGTAGTTAATTTAAACTTTTTTAGATTAATTTTTACTAAATATTTTTCTAACTTAACTGATTTTTATTGATATAAAATTATTAATGAACGAATAACGTTCTCGAAAGAATTAATGTTTGAATTCTACCTGGGATTTTTTCTCACTCGCTTAACTTTCCAATACTTACACCTACACGTTACACTTTGGGCATTCAATTTCAGAATTCTTCAATAGATTGTATATATTCGTAAACATTTTTCGGAGTTACGTTCTGACGAAGTGGTCGGCTGTACCGGTAATCAGTATGACGGATTTAGCTAGCAAATTCCAAAGTTCCAGCGACTTCCGAGTCCCTCACGGCAGGCGTCCGATGAGCGCACGCCCGATGTGCAGCTATTATGCTCCGTCAATGCCTCCAGCCGGAACCCAGATCCGATAACTCGCTGGCGTCCACGTGGTGGAGTGACACAGTTATATTCGAATAAATTATTAAGTTTGATGGATTAATATTAACGACTAAAATGTTCGAATTACCATACTCCCCATATCTTATAAGGCCGTTACTATGGGCCTTTTATCCACGGAGAATGTTCTCAATTTGTCTGTATCATATAGGTATTGAACGAGCACTTAATATAACATTAGGTTAGATATGCCAAGTGTCTAGTTTAATATGAGTCTCAGTAGGCATAGGTTAGGTTAGGTTAGGTTAGAATTCAATATATAAAAATCTAGTAATAAAATGTTTTGACTTTCTTTTCCTTTTTGACATTTTGATGGAACATTATTTATGAAGTTCATGTCGCATGATTGTAACTGTTGCAAAGTTGTTGTAAAAATAATATTTTTAATATTATTTGTTTTTTATATAATATTATTATATTACTGGTATCAATTTTCTCTGGGTACCTAGTTGGTCAATTTTCGGATCATAGCAAAAATGTGTTTGAAAAGTAAAAACAATGCAAAATATTCGGAATACAAAACACTCACTCAATATTAGATTAAAAACACATTGGTGCTTCGGTTTTATTTTAGGCAGGTCAAAGGTGTTTTTACATCTAACGTATACTAATAAATAATGTCTAGGGTTAGGATTTTGTGTACAGTTTTTAAGGAGTTAATTATAGGCAATATGCGTGAATATTTGTTTAGTGGGTACGCCGTAGTGCCGTACATGCGTGCTACATTTTTTCAATAGTGAGCTTGTTAATGAACCTTTATCAACAACAAATTTACAAAAAACTTTTATCTTTATATGTAAAGTAAAACATACTTCTGGATCCTCTGAGGACTGAGAGTAAGGCATCTTCCTCGGCTATGTGTGCGGGTGTGGTCTATACTAAGGTGACCTAATAATATACCCTAGTCCTTTCTAGTTATTGTATGTTTTGGGCCATGGTAATAGTACTTAAAATATATTAAACTATAACATAACATTATAATGATAATATTATGTGCGCTTAATCGTCGTCGTATTAACTATAAAATATTCGAAAAAACGTGTGTCTATATTATACAGTTAAATCGTAAGGAGTAAAAAGTTTATATTATATAATATAAATATAAAAAGACCACTCCAACATATAAATCAGGTGAAATCAGCAGATAAGGACAAATTGAAATACTACCCGAAATGCTCATTAAAATAATACTATTAAAATAATAATAATAATAATAATAGAAAAAAAAATCGAAATCCTGATGTTGCTGGCTGTGAACGATGGACGTATACTATAGCTGGCTTGTAATAAACGTCGCCTGGGAGATTTTCAACTTTATCGGTCTCGGTGTTTGAAGGTATTTGAAATTTAGTTATTATTACCAATTCTGAGTTCAATTAGACCGCACGTATATCTACGCAAGAATCAAATATGGCCATCAATCAAAATAAAGACGAAATAAATGCAATATTATTCGATATCCTAGAAGGAATAGTAACACACATTATTAACGGCGGTTATGACGACTGTAAAGAAGAAGAAGACGAACATCTCATAACATCTGTAGAAAATCTTCTGTCTGCCATGGATGGTAATGCATCGTCTAGCGGTGAAGCGCAGTCCCTCGAGTTACAGGAACCGGAAGTAGGTTCTACTTCCGTTACCGAGGACGCACCGCTAGACAACAACGCAGTTCAGAAGGACTACGAAGAGAACGTCATAAGCGCCGTGGCCAGCGATACATCGACGAGTGGCGACGCGCCATCCCCGTAGTTGGAGCTTGACGATACCACTTCAACTTTCGTGGATGGGCCGCTCGCCGACGAGGCGAAGGAAGATGTATTGGGTGACGAACATCAGCAGCCGGTCGAGGGAATGCAAGTGCTAAACAGTTTTGGAGAACTGGTCGGTTGGTTGGACCCGGCAATAACACCCGGAAAATGCGTTCCACTCCGTCGGAACAGACTTTCGACTGGGTGGAAACGCGTCAAGCGCATTTTCCGCGCTCTGTGTTGCTGCCGAAGTGAAGACGTCCGCAGTTCCCAGAGTTAAGCCCCCTCGGGCCCGAAGACGCCGGACAGGATGACGGCGACGCTTAGGAGGGGGAGGATACGAGACAGTGCACGCAGGTGCAAGGCGGTATGTCACCCGCGCACGTTCTCCGACCACCCGTGGCGCGATGGGTTAGCGGGCGTAGTGCGCTCCGGGCGTGATGACACGCGAGACCCTCTGGCGGCTCGGCGGGCGCTCGGCCGCAGTACGGTATTGTGGACTGATGGGAGACGACGATGACGCGGCGACTAGTAGGTACCGGCGTGGGCAACGATTCCGCCCCGACCGGTACCAACGATGACGACGGCGATGGCAACTCTTTAAGGCGGTAGCGGCGGAGACTTTGGCCCGGGGTGAGTGACAGAGATATGTGCTAGGGACGAGGACGTCAGCGGCGCCGGACTCGAGGAAACTTCGCGGTTTCAGGGTCCGGCGGCGCGCGACTCCACGGCGGCGATGATTGGTCGCCGCCGATTCCGCGGCACTAAATCTCGTTTCACCAGCTCCGTGCCTGTCTATGGTCTCCGCCGTGTGCAGTCTGCAGAGTCGTCACCGTCAACCGTCACAACGCGCACAACATCGCGCACTAGCCGCCGCTCGTCGCAGTCAACCGTCGCTCCCTCGGCCGTCTCGGTCTGGCCTCGCTGGCCGGGCAAGGTCGTCACGCGTCCGAGCAAACGCGCCCTCGACACTCGCCAACCCGCGGGACCGGTCGTCAGAATGTTGCAGAGGTGACCAGTAGCCAGTATTGTGCATATACCGCACCAATTCGCCATCTCGTATCCTCCCCCCCTTGTTTATTGTGTCTCCTGTCCGGAGTATTTTTTTTTCATTTAATTATACCTTTATCTTGTGTTTTTTCGCTTCATTCATAAATTGTTCCAAATTGATTTGTTCCCCCTTTTTTGGCCTTAAATATCATCATACGCATAAATTTATAATAACAGCCACTTTGAGCTTATTTCTTCAAATAGAACTGTTATATCCATTTTCAAAATTTTTTCCCCCCATTTTCGAAATTAAACTACAAAATGTTAATTATAACAATTTGTGCTAATTTATTTTCGGAACGATTTTTTTCAAAATTATATGTTCAACGTTTTGTTTTTGAACCACATTAAAAAAATTATGTTAAACAACACATTAACACATTTGTTTTGTTAAGTTAATAAAAATACTTTCCAAAAAATATTGTTTTTTCGTTTTTTTGAGTATATAAATCAATTGTATTTCAAAATACCTATATATTTTCGACAGAAATTATTTATACAGAGTAATGAGTAATGAGTAATGACTATCGACTTACACTTTAAACGTTACATCACGTTGTACCTATTACATTATGCTCCAAGAGATATCAAAAAATAATAGCGAAGAAACTGCGAAATAAATTAGGAAATAACGCATAACACCGGCGGATATTATAGGTGGTATATAAACTGTTTAAGGATTGTAAATAATTAAAATGTATTACTGCTTGGGACGTGCCTACGTCAATGTAGTCAAGTAAGTAGTCTACACGAAATTATATTTAAAAAAAAATTCAAAATCGTATTATCCAATATTTTTAGGTTTGTTATTTTTTTAACAAGGTATTTCATAAGTAGCCTGGGGACTAAAGCTCCTACGCCCCCGGTGAATCCATTATCCATGCCTGTAGGTACACATGGAACGCTCAAAACAGTAACCTATTCACCATGCTAGGTGGATGGTGAAAGTCATATATTGCTTGAAAATGGATGTCAAAGTTTATAATAGGCAGTACAACAATTATTTAGAAAGCCTTTATATTGCCGATTTTTGACTTGTACAGTTGTACCTATATACCTACGCAGTTTTATTAGTTTTGTTTCAAAATTAATTTTTGATTTTAAATTTTAAAATGTCACTCATATTACAAAATCTTCACTACATATAATACTTGTACCTAAGTATTTTACAATTTTACATAACTAATACTTTATTAGACGTTTAAAATCTAAATTTAAAACATTAAAAAAAATTAAATTCTTGACTAATGTTTGGATTACTTAGTAGATTGACACTGACACTGCAGTTGAAATTGTCATTTGTTATAAAAAAAAATCTATAGGTATACATAATATCTTGCTGGTTACACCACTGAGCGATATCCATATCATGCATTCAGGCTCTAGCTGTGCGCCTCTGCTGATGTATATTTTAGGTCTATAAAAAGATCTTTAATTCACATTCCACTATAGTTCATTGAACATTATTACTTATTAGTTATTACCGTTAACATTGGTAATTGATTTAAATTCAAGACAAATGTAATTTTCATTCTATATTCTATAAGTAGGCATAAAAGACTTAAATAATACATTCAAATCAAATGTAATACCTATCTAACTTTCAAGGTTATTTTAAAACAGAAAAAAAATTAAAATTAAGTTTGTAATATTTGATTACACCCATAGATAGGTTTTCGTGATATCACTTATCAGTTTTAAATTTTCTTAGCATTCTACAAAATATATTTAATATGTTATCAATTTGCTATTTGCGTTTGGTCTGCTCATTGCTCGGTGCCGGTCTAATCGTTTCAATCACGATTATAGATAGGATATAGATATTACGATTTATAATCGTGGTTCCAATGTTCCCTAGAAAAACGTATGTTCCGCTAGCAATATTTGATACTACCACATACTAAATACAAATTACAATATAATATACATGGGTACTTTTTAGAATTGCTTATCAATAATCAATAATCACGGAAGATTTTTTTATCACAAATTGATAAGTAGTTACCACGGTAGATTTATTATTATATTTCCTTTCGGTGATAACAGAGTACAGTGATTTTTCCCGCGAAAATGTGCGATTTGTCACGCAGAAATATCTTAAATGAGGGCACATTCGAGTGGTATTTTCTGTGACTTTGGCGGGGTAATGCACAAAAGCCATGAATAACATAGATCTATAATATATATTATGGGTTACGTCGATTGACCACACACTTATTCAGTACTCCATACTTCAGTAATCCACAACGGCGACTCTATCGCCATTTTATCTGTGTGTGCATACAGTGTCCTTGATAGATAAAGACATAGATGTTCACCCCACTATAATGTTTTTAATATGGCATTATTATATATTTTCAATTTTGTATGTTTCTAATCTCTACTTTGTAATAATTTATACTTAGTTGTAAACTTGTATTTTAGTAAGTTCGCTTGACGTTTGTGCATTGTGAATTGTGTTATATGGATAGTGGATAGTGGATAGTGGCCATTGGCCATTGGCTGGTAAGCAGTTAAGCAGCCATCAGTGGATACTTTTCAGTGAGTAATGACTATAGAAATTCGCTAGGTTGAATCGGCTTAAAATTATCCCGTTCAAGAATAATGATTAATGAACTATGTCAATGATATGCAGTCCAAAATTTGAGTTCCTTTTTTCATACTGTATTATCCTAACAAATTTCTTACAGACATTTGTGTGCAAACACTTAACAATATAAACAAGTACATATATTTTTATTCACGTCAATGCTGTTGCTAAGGGTGAAATTAAGAAAGGTGTGTCTGAACTCTGAAGAATAAATGTTTGTTCATGTAGCTGAAAGGTGTAAAGGGGCTCAGGTATTGGTGGTTTTGGTACATCTGCCTCTGTTGAACTTTGGGTTTCCTTAAATATCGTGTTGTATATGTTGTTAGTTCCTCCAATTTGTAGTGGGGTGTGTTTCTATTATCCTTGTAGCTTTGGGGAAACTGTTGTTTTACATGGAACGCAAACTGATTATAATCCTAGTTAGGATTTTACTATTGTTTGAATGTTAACACTATGTTATTTATATTGTACTACTAGAACGCGACATGCTCTAAAATTATAATATATGTTTTAATATTTGAATTACAATTTGTACATTGTGTAACCTTATGATTAACTAGTAATTATACCTTAATTTATTCTTTATGTTTGCAGAGCTCGTTGCCTGCGACAAATCACTTTTTCAATTATGGAGAGCGGTAAGAAAATTTATGAATACTATTCTTTACCTATCAATAATTGTGTTAGGACATGTGCTAATTGTGTAGTACTTATTACTTACTACTAAGGTATCAGTTTTTTTTTGTTTAAGGGTGTACCTACAATCTCATTGGGGGGCTGAAATTCTTCACGTCTCAATGTTAAAGTCAGATTGAGAGTTTAACTTTTATGTCAGCCATTCAATACCTCTTTGGGTTATTATTTAACCTGCAAAGAATATTTTGCATTTATGACAACGATATAAGTTTTCTCGCATTACTCTTTTTGAGTCTTCCCGGTTAAAACCAAATATATATATTTTAAAATGTTCATCTCCATTGATGTTTAATAAAATCATAATGCCAATTACAATGCATATTACAACATGTTGAAAATGAAGAAATCTTATTCTGATTTTGTTTTTTCATTAATTTTGTATACAAATTATTTAATCACAGAAGCAGATATAAAATATTTTATTGACCTGCTTTTATATATTCTTACAAATTGAATTATGTATATATCTTAATAAAAATGTTATTAATTTTTGTTTGAACTAGATAATATTTCAAATGATGAATCTACAAATTGGAAAGGAATAAGTCAAAGTTTACTGCCTAGGAGTTTTGGTAAACAATTGTTCCCATCACTTATACCTAGTTCTGCGCATACACTATTATTTAAAGTAGGTATATAATTTAATACATTTGTTAAAATTTATCTAAATTCACATATTCATAGATACCAATTGGTATTAACAAAATGCCAGAAGCATATCCCAAAGAATATTGTGATACCTGGGATGACAATCATGTAAAGATGCCATGCTCTAAACATAATTTGTTTTTAGTTCATCACAATGATAAAGTATGTATTTATTTAGTTATTATACAATTTAATTTAACTATTATATTTTTGATATTATAGAGTTCTAAAAAAAATCGTTGGGATATTATCACTTATAATTTAAGTAAACCAATATTGTCAAGTGAAGAATTAGAAAAAGCTATTGTATCATATAATCCAAAGTATAAAGACAAATGGCGATTCTATTTACTACACTCATTTTTTGATGAAGTAATACGTATATATTTTTAGATTTAATTATTATGTATTATTTTTGTATTTTTATTTTTAGTACGCTATTACATAAATGTCTCTTGACATTTAGTCTTTAGCAAATCTCTTATATGTACAAATGTTCCTTAAATCGACTTTTAATTATTAATTATTACTTTAGGAAATTATATGAGTTAATATTAACATGTTTGTTTATGTAGTGTTTAAATGAGGAAGAAACAGAAGAATTTTTTAATAATTTATTACCAAAAATCATTAAATTGGCATTGCAATTGCCTACATTAGTAACTAAACCAATACCTTTGTTGAAACAAACTCATAATCACTCTATATCATTAAGTCAAATGCAAATTGCCTGTCTCTTGGCTAATGCTTTTTTATGTACATTCCCACATCGAAACGTCAGCAATTCAAAGTCTGAGTATTCGGAATATCCGTACATAAATTTTAACGGGTAAATTAATTAAAAGTCAGTTTTTTTATTAAACAACTAATTTTATTTTTCTGAGCAGATTTTTCCAATTAATGGTAAATTCTTCAGCTAATCATTATTTGTATGAAAAGTTGAAATGTATCATTTGTTATTTTAAAAAGGTCACTAGTTCTAATTCTGGTGAGCAAACCAATCCAATCATAATAGTTAAATAATATAGTAAAATATTGTCAACTCATAATATTTGATAATTTATTTAATGATAATTTTCAGTTCTCAATGGAATTGTAACATATTCCAGAAGAAGATTGCCATCTGGGGATTTACCATATTGGTTACAATCAACAAAGAAGTTGACGAATTTGTTTATAACATCTGATGGGACAATAGAAGATAATGGTGATGGAATGCTTCAAGTAGATTTTGCAAATAAGTGAGAATGGTTTTAAAGATGTTCAACACGTAATACTCAAAAACAGATGTATTAAATAAATTGGTTGGAAATAATTTTGGTTTCTAGATTTATTGGAGGAGGCGTTCTTGGTCATGGTAGTGTACAAGAAGAAATTCGTTTTCTAATTTGTCCGGAACTATTAGTGTCTATGCTGTTCTCAGAAAAGATGTTACATACAGAGGCAATTATTATTACAGGTTTGGCTGGATAAAAAATAGTACACTTATTTTTTTAAATTAACTCAATAATTTACAGGTGTGGAGAGGTTCAGTGATTACAGTGGATATGCAAATTCTTTTGAATGGAAAGGTGTTCATTTAGATGTTACTCCTGTTGATGACAATAATCGCCGCTATACTACTATTGTTGCAATTGATGCACTGTACTACAATGATCCTAAAAATCAATTTAAAACAAAAAATTTAAGACGAGAGCTGCATAAAGTATTTAAAAATTGAGTATTTAATATGGCAATGATTGTTTTTAACATGCTTGTGTTTAGTCATTTGCTGGATTTTCATGGGGACAAAATTCAGAGTGTTCCAATGTTGCAATAGCAACAGGAAATTGGGGCTGTGGTGCTTTTCGTGGAGACTGTCATCTAAAATCATTGTTGCAATTAATGAGCGCTGCTCAAGCCGATCGAGATGTTGCTTATTTTACATTTGGTGATACCAAATTGATGGACTCAATTCATAGTATGCATACATTTTTGAAAAGCAAAAATATTACAGTTGGTTAGTTAACTTTCATTTCATAACCTAAATTTTAAATAAATTATGTGTCACTGTGTTTGTTCTTGTCAATAACATTTTCATAACTCATTATTATTAAACCTGGGTCATGTTGATAATTCTAAGTAATTGTTCATTTAAAAATATTTATAAAATGTGGTTAATCATAATTACAAGATAATCGATTTGTGTATCTTAAAACCCTGACTCATAGAATTGAAGCTGATTATTACAACCAGTTCATTATATAGTTATTTTATTGAGATTTTGAATGATTTTCAATTTTTGAATTTTCGTTCATTTGTTGTTAGGTCATATTGTTAACTGTTAAATCATTCAATCACAATCTTAGAACCATACTACCGACTTGAAAATATGGTTAATGATTTTTTGAGACGTCATATGACATGTGGAGGATGAAATGCTAATTTCAATACTGCGCCTTACTAGTCTAGTTCTACCAAAATTTATTATTTGCATACAAACATTTTTGTTGCACTTGATTTCATCATAAAAATACACTATCATCTTATTCCAGAGTGAGGTAAAAAAACATATGCCCAATAATCAGAAATAATATCTTATCGATTGTTAATATTTATATTCTGTGCATACCTAACTACATACGCTTAAAATAATGCATATTTCTGTGTTATTATAAAATTTCAGATTGCCAATTTTTGGCAATTTTTAAAGCCATAGTTTTTTTGAAAAATTTATAAGTTTAATTATCATTAATTAACTTAATGAATATCAACTAAAATTAAACATGTTTCATAAATATTAGAAATTAATAATTTGCAAATAAATTTGTAATTTATAGACAGTTATTAATGGAAAAAAATACTTTGTACCTATATTGTATATTATAATATTAACAATACTATCAATTTTAGGTGAAGTTTCTAGAATACTTCTTAAATACTACGCATGCTTGGAAACCTTACCATGTGTTGGAGTACATGATTATATTTATGATGCTATTACAAACAAAGCCTGGCAGGTAGGTGCGTAAGAAATGTTTTATAACATTACATGTCCTATGAGATAATACATGAAATTGTATAATTTTCAGGTATTTGAGAATAAAGAATATCAATCTGGAGTATTCCCGCAGTATTCTCAGAATCAATTTTTAAAGAATAATTATAAAGCAGTAGAGTCTAACACTAAGGTACTCCCAGCTTCTGAAAATTCAAACACGGAAAATGATCAAACTCCAGAGCAGTCCCATCCTTGTTCAAGTTCAATTTTGTTTGAGTCTAGGCCTTGTTCGAGTTCAAATCTAACAAAGACAACTCCAGAAGAGTTTCAGACTTCTTTAAGTTCAGACATAAAAATCCCATCTCCAGAAGTGCCCCAGTTCACAAATTCTAACTTAATAAAATCAATTTCAGAAGAGTCTGAGTGTTGTTTAAATACAACTTTCATCAAATCACCTTCTGAAGAGTCTCAAATATCTTCAAGTATAAGGATAATAGAGTCAACTCCAGAAAAAATTGAAGAGGAAACAAAATTAAGAAATGTTAATGTTATAGGTGCCACAGACCATATAAATGAACTAGATACCCAAGATGTTAGGTTTTTGCCTGTAAATCAGTTTAGACTAAACAATGACAAGGAGCGAACAATGTGTATTAATCAGCAGAAAAATAGCTGGTTACAATTGAATGATTCCAAAAAAGATTTTCAATCTGCTGTAGAAAAATCATCAGCTACAGGACAGTTGAGTATTCTCAAAAGAGATAGAGAAGAACAAGATGGAGGGAAAAGAGTAGTTAAACGTAAAATATCTGATTACTTTTCACCAAAAAGATAATATTGTTCTGTTTTTAATAATTTTGATTAAATTTGATGTGTATATATTTCATAAATTTAGATTTTAATTTTCAATATAAAAACATTAAAGTTGATTTTTCATTATTATTTAATATAAACCTAATACAGATGTATAAAAAAAAAATACTAGACTAATCTGAAGTATTGACAATTTTCGCATAATTCTCAGCTGCGGTTATAAATTCTGGGATATTTCCTTCGTATCTGGACACAATCTCTTTACACGGAGGACTCATATTCGCGTCGGCCATCACCGCCAGTCTCAAATGCCCACCGTAATTTATTATTGATAATGACATGCCTGAAAAGCGCAAAGTAGACGGTACAAAATATTATCATAATTATTTGTCGGGTTTAATAATATTATACTCGACTATAAAAGGTAAATTGAGTGAACAATTATAAAATCGTGTGGCACGTCTTATAATAACGTTACAATTCGTGTATATTATATACTCACAGACGTTGGCCTGCGGTGGTCTCCAGTATAATATGGCGTCCACCTCTTGGCCCCACAACAGCATTCGGCGCTTATGGTCCAATTTGTGTTCCTCGACGTATGTGACGGTCAGCGGGAACTTCTTGGACAGGAAGTGCAGTCCGTAGCTGACTATCGGCGATGGCAGGAACGACGTGGCCAGGCTGTGGTCAATTTGCCACATGGACGCTATGTACAAGGCCGTCTGGTTGCCGATGGCCTCTTGCAGGCACTCCTGCATCTGGTGCAGGCTGTACATGGGGTCACGGTCGGTGTCCATGGGTAGTGGAAGGGCTAGTAACCCGTTGGTGACCACATGCCGGTTGTTGAGCTGGAACAGGTTGGCCTTAGACACGAACCGCGTGGTGGTCATCACGTTCTTGGGGAATCGTAGGCCGGCCTCGGCGAAGTACTCCTGGAGAGCGGCGGCCAGCATGGACAGTTGGATCTCGCACGTGGCCGCGCCCGTGTTGTCGTGTATGGTGTTGACCAGGTCCAGGTCGATGGGCCGCGACCAGCATACGCACTTGCTGCCCTCCGGCGTACCCATGGCACCGCGGTCTTGGCCGCCGAAGAACGGCAACACCAATTCCCGGATGACGGTGCTTGGCGCGTAGTATATGAGCCGTGCCAGATACATCAGCTCGGACACCGAGTACAGAAGCACGTACGCCCAGTACACGTACGTGGACGTGTTCTTGACCATCAGCAGCAGGGTGATGGGCAACCGGAGTATGCACTTTACGAGCAGCCACCAAGTGAATGACACCCACAGGGCCGGGTGGAACGTGTTGACCAAACTCTCGCACATGTATCGGAACCGGATGTCGCGGCGCGTCATCTCCCGTTTTAACTTGTGTGCAAAGTTCCGCTTGGTGGTTTTGTCCCGGGCTGCGGACGCGGTCACGATCACCAGCATGGTTCCAAAAATGAAGACGTTCGGCCGGCACCTGAACACCTTCGGGTTTTCTAGCGGGTCGTACGTGGACACCAGTTCGTTCCACGTGTTGGCGCAGATCTCCGACAGGTGTTCGCTGAGTCTAGGCAACGCGGTCGGCGCCTGGTACACAGTGGACAGGATGTTCTGAATGCTGTCGGCGTCTGCGTGCTGGCTCGACGATGACGACACCGATGCCGTTTCACCGTGTTTCAGACCACCGTCGTCCGGTTTCAGTAGCAACAGGTCACTCAGCCCGACGCCGTCCTCGGACGAATACAAGTGGTGGATCCGGACCAGCATGTAGAACGAGTCCTCACTCACCGGGATCATGGTGATCTGCCACTGCGGCAGTTCAGGCGGTATGAGTGACGCGATTATGTCGTTCACGTGTTGCTGTATAAAAATAATTGCAATTGTTAGTAAGCGGATATTGGTATTTACCGTTAGCGTGCCCATATATTATAGGAGAAATGTAAAAAAAATGAGTTTTACTCTTGTATCGGAGGAAACGTTATAACATTATGTTAAAGACGTCAAAATAATACTTTTCAAAATCATGAATTGCAATAACGAAATATAATAAAATTGTGTACAAAATACAAAATACAAAATATTTTTTTATTAAAATTCACATGACCATCGTCGCGACTATATTATTGTTACCTATACTAGTTACTATACCTATATTATGTTACATATTCATAATACACAGAACATTTTACTGATTACATTTTATATTTGGGTCCGTACATACTAACATACTGAAATGTTAACCTAATCATATTTTTAAAAGAAATTGTTAAATAGTAATTACTAATTGTAGTAAATTATCTATTTACCGCATTAAAAACAGAACATACTGTAATATTATTTCGAAGGTTAAACGTGTTCAATTCCTGACAGGAATGGTAGACGTAGACCGATTCCCAAATAGTTAGGTTGAGGCTAGGTAAATTGAGTCCCGAGTATTAATATTATTTTATTTTTCGGAAAAATCATTTTTAAGTAACGACGATGTTTAAAAAAAAAAGAAGAAAAGTCTCTACATTCAATATGCAATGTGTAGTCACCAATTATTTGTGATTATCGATTCCCGGATTAGGTTAATATTATGAATGAAAATGAACATATTGTATATTTAGTAGTTACTATTGAATTAGGCATATTAAAATTAAAAATGTTTACTCATTTATAATTTAAATACGTAAAGTTAATCTTATCCACAAATCTTTTAATACACTTTGGGTATATTTACACGTGGGCCTCATATGTAGTAATTTTAAGTGGGCATGTGGTCCTCGATTAAAATTAATAATTCGTATACAAATCACGAATTAAGATAGTATGGAATGGAAACTGTAAATTGAAACGCTGTCTGTCTGTAGATGCCTTGCTAAATGAATAGACCTAACAGTTATGAACTTCAATAGACTAAACTTGATATAATTATACATTTTTGTTTAGAATAAAATGAGGTATCTATATATTAAAATTATTGTGGCCCGTGAAAAATGCATATTTATTTTTTGGCCCTTGACATAAAAAAGGTTGCCGACCCTGAGAAGGTTAAGCCTAACCTTAAAAAAGGAATACATTATACAATCGCGCATGCAGTCATTTGTAATGGATTACATTTTGTTTTTATTAATCCTGCAGATATATTATATCGCGGAGGTAAATCTATGAAAAAAAAGATTTGTAGTTATGTTCTTCTTATGCCCAAATATTTTCCAAGTTTTCACCCAACCCTAGGCTGCACCTAAGCTACTTCATCTCGAATTCTCGACTAAAAAGTCTTACAGTTATTCCACGAACTCATGATTGATATCTGAGATCCGATAAATGACAATACATTATAGGTAGGTAAATAATATCATGGGCTTTATATTATAATTAATATATATAGCTAGTTATAATTTTTATAATGTAGGTGTACTTTGGTGTACTTATCAAATTCACTTCAAAATAAATAAAACGAAAATAGGTGTTCAGAGCCACAGTGCTGGGAATGTATAGATACCTATCTAGTGGTCCAGTAGCCAGTGGGAGTATAAGTACACACTTATTTCTCAGTAGGGACGTATACGGTGAATGTTGTAACTAAAACAACGAGATGTTAGTAATTTTTTATTTTTAATGTACCTATGTGAATTGTGCTAAATAATAAATAATTTAATTAAAAATATAAAAGCATTCCAATGACATATAGTCCTCGGATGTTTTTCCCTTTAAACTTTAGGTACATATATATTTTTAATTTAGGATGAGTTAATGGCAATAAAGAAACTATTTAGGTAATATCCGAGATGAAAGTTTTAGCTGAACTTTTTTTTCGTTCTTATATTATATAGTATATACATATTTTACTCGAGGGTGGCCAAGACTTTATTATATAAATACGCGTACTTACCGTGTACACGTTACCTAGTACCTACAGGCTACAACTGAATAATACTTGTGTATATAATACCTACTCGCGTAGTCTCGAGACTATATTGATCATTCGGCATCATCGTGTTCGTAGTTTATACACAATATAATTGTGTGAACACGCCGTGTACATGAAAACTTAGAAATGGTTTTCAGTTTAATTGGTAATTGGACGAGGCGAGTATATGATTTATATTATTCCCGGAAAACACATGGGGCAAATTCAAAATGTAATAATATATAATATAGTCTCGCGTAAATGATTTTTTTTGATTCGAGTGTGATGTAACTTGTGGATGTAGGCAGTCGTATCCGAAATTGACTGTAGTGATAGTAATGTAGTATACACTACCTTTCCAACATTTATGCACCTATTAAAGGTACATCCCTAGCTTATTGTCTTGTGACGATGACTGACTATAGATATTTTCGGTTGTTAAGTGCAGAAATAATAAATAAAAAATCCATACGCCATACAATATATTTATAATCTACCTAATTATTATGTGTTTGTCAGGAGATCGTTTTCCTTGATTTTCCGAGTTGCATTAGATCAATATTCTAATTATTTTTTGAATTATTTGCCAGTGTCCTGCTTCTGAGTTCTCAAGTTTTGATAAGATTGCCTATTACTGTAAAGTGTAATTAACTCTATCTGTGGGCCGTGGGCGTCCATCACACACGGACTATTTAAAATGCATCGTATCAGTCAAGGTTAGGTAAGCAAAAGGAATAATTACATAAAGATCCCATTGTCATTCGTAGATTTACTGAGTTCAGTTAAAAAAAATTAATGATTTTCAAACTACCTATCGATTTTCTTACGTTAAATTAATCAATTAGGCTAATTAGTAATTAGCCTTCATAATATTATCAAGTGATTTATTTGAGTGAATACACTCATTATTTCGAAAAGTTTTAATTTTTAACACCAGTCATCAAAACTAAATACTTATGAGTTATGACTAACGAACTATACTTCTCCAAAATTGTATCTGTATAGATCAAAATACTGCAAATAATATTCCGCTTAAGAATTTGGAATAAAAAATATATGACGTTATGTAAAGAAGTAGTAAAAAAATAAACATTTTCCTGAAATATTGTTTAGAAATGATATAAAATGGTATACAAATTGAAACTTATGAATAATGAGTGTAGACATTTAAATGGATCTCTCTTTATATTGGCAGTTAAGGAGATAGGTACCTGCCTATTGTAGATAT